TCCTTCGGGATGGGCCAGACGGGCCCCTTTCCAAACCACGTGGGAGGGGACGCCCCTTTCCCATCCTCTCTACCCCGCCCCAGCCCCAGTCTTCCCCTCTGGGAGTCTCAGTGATACCTCTTGGCTCCCCGTGTCCTGAACTGAACTCACATTCCCTCTAGCCCTGCCTCCTCCAGACTACCATCTCTGGACCGCCCACAACTCCCAGACCCCAGCTCCATCCTGATGTCCCCTCAATTGGTTCTCAAACTGCTCTTTGATTGTTCATTCCTGCCCCCAAGCCAGCCATCTCCCAACTGGATCCAGCCAGGTGCCAGCGTTCCACGCCTCTTGAACTCTGGGAAGTGCCCACAGAGGGCAAACCACTTGTTCTGGGTCACACAACACGCAGGTGGCAGAGAGCCCTCAACCTCAACCACTATACCCCCCTTCCTGACCCTGTCCTGTGACTGCTTACCAAGATGTGCAAAGGGGTTGCTATGAAGCAGAAGTGTGAGTCTAGCAGACTCTGAAATGAGTTACTTGGGTTCAAATCCCAGTATTGCCACTTTTTCCCCATAAGACCTCAGCCAAGCCACAGCCTTGTAATCTGATGCAGTCCCCTCCACGCTGGTACCAACCCTAGTTTTCCAGTGGCAACGGGGAACCCTGGAAAAGCTTTACAGAGTAGCATACAAGCCCCTCAGCTAAATTTTCCTGATCAGATTTAAAAACATTTCTAGTTTCATCCCTCCCCCTCCACTGCAGAAAATTTGCTGCTCCACAAAATACTATTTTTTTAAACTTTCTAAATCAAGGGGCCAATCAGGAAACACAAGTGTGTGAAACACTTCCAAGGGAGAGTGTGGGTACCAAGAAAAAAGGGTCTCTGCTACTTTGCTTGAACGGTTGTTTCCAGGAGGAATAATAGGTGGAGTGTTAGATCATTTTCCATTTTTCTTTTTTAGAAGCTAGAAATGCAATTCTTTAAAAAAAAAACAACAAAACTGTATGACTTACAGCAGTAGACAATTCATTCAAAAATTTAAAACATATCGCAGGCCAAAGAAAAGTCTGTGGGCCAGATTCAGGCCTCACCTGCCATTCCTGCATACACATTGTTCCTGTGCCCAGCAGACCAGGAGCCCCTCTATGGCAGGGCCCAGATATGACTCATTCTAGGTCTCAGCAAGGCACACAGATATGGGCTGAATGAAAATGGTCCCATATCTCCTATTCACCCTCTCTAGGCCTTGCACATGCTGTTCTCATGGCCTCAAATGTTCTTTTCCTCCTCTACTAGCAAGTTTCTACCAATCTTGAGAAATACAAGAGTCTGTGTAAGCTCCACTTTGAAGACCTCCTTCATAACTGGGGCAGAGTCATCACCTCCTCCTCAGACTCCCCCAGCCCTCCACCTTTCTCTCCCAGAGGCAAGCACTGGGGCTGGGACTCTCTGTCCCACTGGACTGGGAGTCTCCTGGGGACAGAGCCTATCTCACTCACTCTGGGGCCCTAGCATCACCAGATCGAAGAGTCTGGCCCATAGCTGGCCTCAGTGGGTGTATGTGTTGAACCGACTAAAGCTCCAGGTTTCTCCAGTCTGCTGGCCCCTCAGGCCCTAAGAAGGTGACAAGTGATAGTACTTGCCCCTCCATTTTGGACTCAGAACTGAGAGCTAAGGGAAGCTGTGCTCTCCTGAGTCAGCCACTCACTAAAAATCAAGAGGACCATGAAGAAAGTACTTTATTGAGGTGATTGGGAGTGCTGCTCCTAGCCCAGCATTAACCCCCTTAGTACAGTCTCATGGGTGGAAAGGACCAAGCCTCTGGGCTGCTCTGGGCCACTGCATAGGAGAGGCTGGGCAGTGGGGCAGGGGGGCTGGGACTCCAGTCCAGGGCAGAGGTTCGGGGAAACAAGGGGGATGGTGGCTGAGGCAGAGGCTGTGGTCTGCTGACCCCACAGGGCCAGGGAGGGGGTGGTGTGGCTACCAGCCAGATGCTTTTTAGCAGGTCAAATGCTGTTGGGGGGGCCCAGGCTGCCGCAGATGCCACAGATGTCGAAGGCAATGAAGGCAATGTGGGTGGCCAAGGACCTTTTGGTGGTGCCAAGCTCACCCTGTGTGTAGTGGGAGCGCTGGAGGTGTGAGGCATGGCAAAGGGGAATTCCTTTGTCCCCTGTCTCCTCCTCTGCCTTCCTTGCCTTGGGGCCTGCTCAGGGTTGTTGATCCTTCGTCTCTCAGGGCCCCCAGGCTTGGTCCCTGGCATAGAGGAAAGAAGCATGGGGAACAGCTGAGCTAAAACAGACAAAGGGAAGGAGAACACAGAGGGCAGGAGGTGAGCTCACCTGACAAGGGTGGCTGGCAGCCCTGGAGCACCAGGGTAAGGTCAGGCACACAGCCATGGCAGGCCTGTAAGGTACCCAGGATGGCATCCCTGGCCTCTTGTACTAGGTTCCTCCTGGGGAAGGCCTGTGGCAGAATCAGCTGGCTCTGCAGCTCCCCCAGCAGCTGCCCCAAGCCTGGGGCCTCTGGGGGAGTAGGTGGGCCTGGGCCTGAGTCTCCAGGCACCTGGTTCTCCTTGCCCCTTGACTGTGGGGCTGGTTCTTGGGCCCTGCCTGGGCTTGGGGAAGGCTTGGTGGGTAGTGTGGGGGTGCCTGGCTCCAGGGACCCACTGCTAAGCAGCCGTGCCACGTCCAGAGATTTCACCTCATGGTTGAAGAGACCCCGGTGCTCCCGGCTTAGCCTGCCCTGGGTTATAACCACGAGCTTGGGAGCAGTAGGGGCCACAGCATCCTGGAGGTCCATAGGTGGATTCCGACTGGCCACAGGAGGATCCTGATGGGACAATGACCGTCGGTTGCCCACCAGGGCTTCATTACGCTCCCGCCTGGTCTTCCGACGGTGGACCCGACCAGGTCTCTCAGCCCTCTGGAAAGACTGGGTGACTGGCCCCCGAGGGTCCATAGGGTCCTGGAAAATAAATAAAGGGTGGTTATCAGCATACAGATAAGTCAGGGACTAAAAGTGAGTAGTGAAAAGAAGAGATGGCTTGGGGTGAGGTGGGAGACAAGATGTGAGAGAGGGAGTGGGCAGAGAGGGATTGGAAAAGGCTTGGGTACTCGCTTTGGCAGCACATATAATAAAATTGGAAAAGGCTTGCTCTGGGAAGGAGTCATAGGGATAGGGTGAGATCAAGGGAGTCACGGTGAATGGGAAGATTTACAGGAAGGGTTACAGGGAACAGGGAAAAGAGGAAATAGCTAAAAGATGGAGGATGGGGAAGGGATCATGAGACTGGAGGGATCTGGAGAACCAAAAAGGGATTTTGGACAGAAAGAAATCCTGGGGTAGAGAAGGAACTGGAGAACGCAGAAAGTAGAGAGAGATGGTAGAGAAGGAAAAGCAGGAGAGACAGACAGCAGAAGAGAAGTTGTACAGAGAAAACCTGGAGGACACAGAAAGGGCGACAGCGGAGCTATCAGGGACTGAGGCTGGTCACGGGATGGGGGGGCTCGAGGGGTTGGGAGACTTGGGTTGGAGAGGGTGCGAGGGTGGGGCAGTTGAGGCAGCAAAGGGGGATACGGTTGGTGGGGTAGGGACGGGAGAGGGCCCCCTCACCTTCTTCTGCCCCAACGAACCCGGCCCCTTGCCCCCCAGCCCACCCCACCTGGCTGTGGGGTGCAATGGCTCCTATTCCGGAGGTGACCCCAGCTCACTACGCCCCGGAGCTCTCCTGGGCCTAGGGCCTCCTGCGCATGCGTGTGCACCTCTCCCTTGCCCTTTGACTTCTCTGCGTCTTAGAGGCCTGAGGCTCAGAAGCACGTGCCAGGGGCCCAGAATGCCCGTTGTAGCCCCGCCCCTCTCAACCTCACATTAGGAAACCTGCCATTTGTCCTTAGGCACCTCCCAGCCACCAATTGGCTATAAGGTCCACTAGGCCCTCCCCCTTCCCGAATCTGATTGGTTTAGAAGTCTATAAGCGGACTTTAGGTCCGTAGCACGTGAAATCAGGCGTGGCTCAAGGTGCAGAAGAGCCAGCCGGGCCCCCACGGTGGTCACAGACATCATCCCTAGAGAGTCTGTTTAATGTCACCATTCGGAGTTGGTGTGTGGGACTAGGTTCAAACGTCCAGACTGGCACATTTAAGCTGTGTGAACTTGAATTGTGAAACTACTCAGAGCCTCAGTTTCCTAATCTGTAAAATTGGGTTCATAATAGTACCTCCTTCATACGGTTACTGTAAGTATGAGATGAGACAACATCTAACTTAAAATAGCGCTTCGTGAGTGAATGTCTTGAAGCTTTGTTTCTCATTAAGCTTTGCTTCAGGAGCTGCTTCTCTACCTCTCCAACTTGTCTATATACACTTGCCCCTTCAGACTTTAAAATCAAACTATGCCAGGGTATTCCCCATGTCCCAATGAGCTGTATTACCTCTGTAATATTATTTGGCTGACCTTCATGGTCTTTCAAATCCTAACTCAGATACTATTCCTTCTAAGATGTCCCCTCACCATCAGAGTCCTCCTCGGCCTCCTCCCCAGAGGTCCCTGATTCCTCCCTTAGTCACAACCTTGATCCTTCCCTCAGCTCTGTGTTTGCATCAGTCTCTCCCAACACACTGGGGCAAGGCCAGGACCAGATCCATTAATTTAATATTCATTCAGCAAGTACTTGTGAGCAGCCACAGTATTTGGTACTATGAGTCAGGCCCTGTTCCAGGCAAGTGGATTGAGGCAAAACATAAACAATAGACTCATCTCTGTATTTCAGTATCAACCTGCCTAGAAGGAATGAATAGATAGGAAGGTCCTATCTGGGAATATGGCTAGGCCATTTAGGGGGTATGGGACTCCACACACACCTGGTTCCCAAGAACTGGGAGATCTTGGAAGACTTGAGATCTGAGATTAAGTTGGGGTGGGGGGAAGATCGGCCTTAGGTGGCCTTGTCTGTGGATGTAGGTTTCAGAGTCCAGACACACCCAGCTGAAGTTATTGGTTGGCAGTGGGTTTAGGGAGGGGAGCAGAGGCTACAGATCTGCAAGATGAGCTGCTTCGAGGTTTGCCAGACTGGACCTGGGCCTTGCAGCGTCTCTAATTTCCTCTCTTGTTCTGCACTTTCTTCTAACTCGCTTGCAGGGCCTGTGATATCTGTCATGCAAAGACGTGTAGTTTAGATTTTATGCCACAAAACTGGTGTTTTTGAGCAGGGGAAGCTCACGAATAGACTCACTAGAATATCTCCTTACAACCGAGCCTCTAATTTAAAAAATATATATACGTTTTCACTGATTTAAGGGAGAGGGAGAGAGAAAAATGTTGATGTGAGAATCATCAATCGGCTGCCTCCTGCTCGCCCCCTACTGGGGATGGAGCCCCCAACTCGAGCACGTGCCCTGACCCGGAATGAAATCGGCGACCTTTTGGTACTTTGGAGGACGCTGAACCAACTGACCCACACGGGCCTGGGCTGAGCCTCTCATTTTTGCCATTTTCCTTTTCTCTCCCCCAACATCAGTAGAAAATGGGAGCGTCTCCTCCTATCCAGAAGCGTATGAGCCACCCCTCCAAAGTTTCCAAGAATGGACTCGTCCACTCACTCCCCTCCCCCCCCCACGTGAATGGGGACACACACAGAGGGAGTAGGAGAGAGGAGAGGGAGGGAGGGAGAGACAGGGAGAGGGAGGGAGGGAAGGGGGGAGAGAGAGAGGGAGAGAGAGAGAAATAGTCCCTTCCGCAGATTTTTCGCCGTTCAGCAAATGGTTTGTTCCCGCGAGGCAGGGCTCTACATTTTCCCCGCCCACTCGGCCTTTCAGGTACTTCGCCCCTCCCCGTGGCGCCGAGTGGTTGGTTCCTCCCGCCTCCCCCCACGGGTGCCGGATGGTCTCGTCTTCCCTGTCCCCAGGTGCTGGAGTACAGTGGCCGCCGCCGAAGAGGCCGGGGAGTGGGAAGCGCCCCAGCGGGAAGCGCCGGACGAGCTCACTGTGCGGCCGCCGTGGGGAAGCAGAGCTTCCCGACCCACCTCTCCTCCTAAGTGAAGGTTTCCGCCTCTGGAGAGGAGGCGGCGCCCGGGATCCGCCTCCGTCCGCTGCTGGATTGCGGGCGTCCGGACGGTCCATTGTTGCCTGGAGGGGTAGGGGTGGGTGTGGTGGAGCTATCTCCTCTGGGAACGCTGCGGGGCCGACTTCGCTGGCTCATCCTGCAGAAGCTCCGACGCCGACATGAGCGGAGAGGAGAACCCAGCCAGCAAGCCCACGCCTGTGCAGGACGTTCAGGGCGACGGACGCTGGATGTCCCTGGTGAGCCACCCCGCCCACGGTAATCGGGAGTCAGGGGTGGGGGCCGGGGCTCAGGAGTTAGCCGGTTCGCACCTCTCTCACTACCTGATTGGGAAACTGAGGGCAGTTGGGGTGGTGCTGCCTAAGGAAGCAGGGCCGGGCAGGCCCAGGAGCGAGCGTGCCATAATTCTCCCTTGTTCGTCCCCGAAGCACCATCGGTTCGTGGCTGACAGCAAAGATAAAGAACCCGAAGTCGTCTTCATCGGGGACTCCTTGGTCCAGCTAATGCATCAGTGCGAGGTGAGCCCGTCTCCCTACTCCTGTCCCACCCAGGCCTGCCCTCACTGACTCCTGGACCAGACTTCAGGCCAGGCGGCATATGCGGTACACAAAATAACCTCAGGTAGCAGTGCCCAGCGCCCAGAATCTCTAAGGTACAGCATTCTACTGAGAAGGAAGTGTGTGCCCTGGCTTTGTCAGGCTGGTGTTGTATAATAGTGAGACTTAAAATGAGGCTTTCCTGCAAGATTGACTAAAGTGAGGTTCTTTATTGTATGGAGACATACAGTAAACCTATAGTCCTTTCCACAAAGTGATGGCCAACTGTAATAGCTCTCCACAAAGCGGGCTGGGGTATATCTTTCCACTAAGCAAGGTTAAACTCGCAACAGCTTTCCTCAAAGTGAGGTTTAACCATTGTTTCAACGCAAAGCTCAAGCAGAATGGTTTCCATAAAGTGAGTCTTGCTTCTTTGGGGTTCCAAGAATATAATAGGTTTCCATAAAGTAAGGTTTGACCATACTGGGGTTTGCTCAAGCTGAGATTTAACCAGACTGCTTCCATGAAGAGAGGCTCTTCCGTAATGATATCTGGTTAACAAATGAACCCAGACGATGCCCCCGTGCCCACACCACTTCTTGCCCACAGATCTGGCGGGAGCTCTTCTCTCCTCTGCATGCACTTAACTTTGGCATTGGCGGCGATGGCACACAGCACGTACTATGGCGGCTGGAGAATGGGGAGCTTGAACACATCAGGCCCAAGGTGAGCAGGGCTTGGGTGGGCAGCTAAAGCCCCCTTAGCCTGCCCCCTCACCACTGCTCCATGCCTCTCTTTCCAGATTGTGGTGGTCTGGGTGGGTACAAACAACCATGGGCACACAGCAGAGCAGGTGGCTGGTGGAATCAAGGCCATCGTGCAACTGGTGAACCAGCGGCAGCCCCAGGCCCGGGTCGTGGTACTGGTAAGAGAGTGGAAGGGTGGGGAAGGAAGGTTGGCAGTGTTCTGAGACCCCCTCAGGTGTAGCCATAGCTGGCATGATTCTGGGTAGCTTGGCACAGAGCAGTGGCTCTTAGAATTTCACATTGAAGCTTGCTACATCCCTCAGAGCAGCTGTGAATAAGGACGTGGTCAGGGGCCAATCAGGTCCTTTTGCCCAGGGACATGCTAGAGATTCTGGGATGTTAAAACTCAGTAAATAGCCAAAAGTTGTCAGCCATTCCCAGGGTGACTCTAAGCTGTATCACTTAAAGCTGGGGAATTCCCTCCTCTGAAAGAGGGATTGACTCCTTGCCATTTTGTCAACATTTTTATAAGGCTGTTGTTGCTGAATGGGGTCTCAGACAAGGCATCAGAAAGTACCGTTCCAATCCCCGTTTCCCATCCCTCGTGTATTTAGCATGAGGACTTCATCATGGGGGTTGGAGAAGTTTGGCAGAGATGCTAGTAGGACCCAGGTTGTGACGGGATATCTCCCCACAACTCTTGGTGCCCTCCTCAGGGCCTGCTTCCGAGGGGCCAGCACCCTAACCCACTTCGTGAGAAAAACCGACAGGTGAACGAGCTGGTACGAGCAGCGTTGGCTGGCCACCCACGAGCCCACTTCCTGGATGCTGACCCTGGCTTTGTGCACTCAGATGGTACCATAAGCCACCATGACATGTATGATTACCTGCACCTGAGCCGTCTGGGCTACACACCTGTTTGCCGGACCCTGCACTCCCTGCTTCTGCGCCTGCTGGCCCAAGACCAGGGTCAGGGTGTCCCTCTGCCAGAGCCCACACTCTAAGCATCGCTTTCCTGCAACATTAAACTGTTGTTCTTCAGTCTCCTGTCCCACTTTCTGCTTTATGGCCAAGCCCATCTGGGTACCTCAGCCTCAACTCTAATCCCCATGACCCTGCAGCTCTGCAGGATCTTCCGTTTCTGCCCAAAGCAGGCATCACCCATCTATCAAGGCATTCCGGTCCTTGTCAAGTATGGTGGATTTATACTATCACAATAGTGCTCCAGGCAGGCACTACCAATCAGTAACACTAGGTGAAACAAGTTTGCTAACACTACCCTATAGGATCAGGGTCAAGAAAGAGTTCTGGGAACATAGTAGCCTAATGCAGTCTTCTAATCTTTGCACATACCGTTCTTCTGGCTGGTGCTCTGGAAGCTTCCAGACCCTCCCACCCCCAACAGCCATCCCTCCACACAGGGTATAGGCATTTCTTTCAGCTGAGCACTATCCACTGGCAGAGATGAGTACTAACCCAGGAGGCCCCTGGCCTGGCTGCAGTGCTAGCTCAGGCCACGTGGGGGCAGCAGGGGGTCACTCTGAGGACAGCACTGTACTTGGGACAGTGCCGCGAGGTCTGAGACCAGACGTGTCACTGTCCCCAGATCCAACTGGAACTTCGAGGGTAAACTGCCCTTGCACATCTAGGCCTTCCCCAAGCCCATGCATACTAGATGGCTGAGAAAGAGGCAGAGATGTCACAGCTCCTTGAGCACTAGACCTAGACAGAGAGGCTGCCCAGCCTACAGTGGGTCAGGGACCTCAAGTCATCGGGTCTTTCTGATGTTGGGAGGAAGTAGTCCTGGCATTGCTCTCACCTCACTGGGGGGAAAGAAGATAGCTCCATGGCCATCCAGTGATACAACTTGTACAACCAACACCCCTCCCTTTCAAGTGGGCAGCTACACAGTTGTGTTAAACAGCTTTAATCTCGGCTTCTCGGCACAGTAAGAAATATTGCACATGATCAACATGTTTTGTTCTGGGGATGGGGACAAGGGTAGGGGGAATCACCTTCTTAGAAAGTACAACCCAAGTTGGGAGGGCAGAGGGGTGGGGAGAGAACCCTCCCCATGCCTGTGGCAAAGTGCAGGAGCCCCCACCCTCAAACTAACCTGAGTCCAGCCCCTCTGGGGGAAAAAGGGGTGCATGAACTCCCCCTACTCCACAGGTGCCTCCCTGTGGCCAAGGCCCTCACTTCTCTCTGCAGCCCTCACACGAGCCATTTTGCATAAAGTACAAGTGAAAAGATCTGAAGGTCACACACTCCAGGTTATTATGTACAGGGGCTCGGTAGAGGGAGACTGTGCCCCTGCTTTCCCTCAGCTGCCCCCCATCACCAGGAGGGAGCTGTGGGGGGAGGGGGACACAGAGGAGCAGGCCTCATCCCGTCCCAATCTGGAAAGGACGAAATGGCTTTATTGGGGAGGAGGTAACCATCCTGCCCCCCCCCATTCCTGCCACCTACATACTGTCCATGTCCTGAGGGGGGTACTAGGTACTATGGGTCCTGGAATCTTCTCAGGGGCCCCTCACCTGCCTGTGGCAGCTGTGGAGGGACCAGGGGGTGGGGG